TAATTTCATAACCAACTGATCAATAAAGAAAATGCTAATGTCCTGGATATTGTGTTTTATACCAAACTTCTTAGGGGCCCCAAAGACAAATGTCCAACATTAACTAGCAATAAATACTTAAGGAATATCTACTATGCTCCAAGGAAATGTTCATCCACAGAAGATTGCTGTTGTACAAAGACAGTCCAAAACTACAATTCAAATTCATGCCTTCTGGAAGTTCTGGTATTCAAACTGGAAGCTCCTTTCAATGTACAACTTTTCCTCTGTATCCAAAAGAAGCTGTCACTAATATTTCTACAATCTACTAACAACCAAATACATTAACAAAGATATATGGACGGTATAAAGCCTGTAATCCCAGCAGCTAGACAGGCTGAAGCAAGAGGATGGCAAGTTTAAAGTCACCCTCAGCAAAAGCAAGGCACTAAGCAACTCAGTGAGACACTATCTCTAAACAAAATACAAAATAGGGCTGGGGATATGGCTCAGTGGTGGAGTGCCCCTGAGCTCAATTCCCAGTACTCAATAAATAAATAAATTAAATTAAATAAAAATAAAGAGACTAGGAGAAGTACTTGGTACAAAATGGAGTACAAAGTGAGTCTTGGGTTATAATGTTGTATTCTGTCCTTTGGAGCTTTACATTGTGAAAATCTGGCACTTCCCTAAAGTAACTCCTTTTTCTCAAAAAAATCAATTTATTTTAAAAAGTAAAGTTTTACTGCTTACAGAAACCATGACTCCTACTTACTCTAACAGACCCCTATAAAATACTAACAATGAAGAAACATGGCTTGATTTATCGATAAGTTAATACCAGAGTACTTCATATGATTTATAAAAGTTTAAAACTAAATCATGCTAAGTAAAATGCTTCTGACTGTACATAAAAACAGTTAAAATGAATATCAGGTAACATAAAGTAGTCCTAAAGGCAGTATTTTTCCTTTAAAGAGAACACAAGAGATAACCAGCTCCCCAGAAGTTTATTAGTCTTACAGTAAATGTCCAATTCCATAATTTATCCTAAAGTAACTCCATTCCACTGCACACCACCCATAGCAACTATTCAGCAATTTCCAATGTGTAATCTATTGTCCACTAGACAGCCACAAAACTCAAGTCATTCTTTGAATTTCCTCAATTCATACCATCCCCCTCCTTTTACAAAAAGAGAGATAAAATCTTGAGAATACGAATGGTACAAAAAAGTAGAAAAAGCACAGACTGCCTCTGCACCCAAGCTCCTTTCCTTTATATCTAAGAACTTACCATTTATCTCAACACATAGATACCTTCATGTCTGAACACGTTAATAACAGTTCAAAATACTCTAACAAATGACAAGGTCTTTATGTGACTATTCTGTCCAAGCCTCTCCATTTAAACATTCAAGTCTTGCAGCTTTATTCTGTCATCCAAGTATCACCACGCTCAAACTCCCAAACCATTGTACAAAACCAACATATACGCTTCCGCGTCCTCAGAGTTACCAACACGCTCCAACCCAAGGTAAAACCTTCCCTAATAGAGGCTCTTCCTTTACGAGCTTTTCACAAATTCCTAACACAGTCTCAAAACTCCATATTCCCAAACTCTCTTAAAAGCCATACCAGTCCGGAGTTACACCCTCTCCAGCCTAATTCCTACTACCTCAAACTCCACCCCTCAACACGCCTTCTCGGGCCTCAGCCACCAACTTCAATACCCCGGCACGCCCTCCGGATCCCTTTGGGGTACTTTCCGCCGGTCAGGCTAGACCCTTCTCAGGCTTCGGAAAAGCCGGGCTCTCCCCACCACATTCCAACCCCGCCCCCAGCCCCTCACCAAGTAGTAGCAGCTTCACTTCTTTGGCCGCTTTCTCCCCGTCCTCCCGCAAATTGCGGTCGATCATCTTGCTCCGCTCCACCGCCGCCTTGTCTTCGGCGCTCAACGTGCAGCCCATGGCGGCGGCGGGAGAGGGAACCGGGCCCGGCCTCACTCACACTCTGCTGAAAGTGCTTCTCCGCTGGCTCAGACAGCGCGTCTACTGCTGGGCGGCGGCCCTCTCCGTCAGCTTCACTAGCGATCCGAGAAACCGGATATCCGGCGTTTACGACACTTCCGGCGACGCCCTGCGGCCGTTACCACTTGAACCACTCCCGCTCTAAGAGAGGAGAGGAGACCGAAAGCGGAAGGCCCCGGGAGGGCGAGGGTTCCGCGGAGCTGTCAGGTTCTGTGAAGCTCGGTGCGCACCTCCTAACCTTAATCCCCCCTTACCTGTTGGGTAAATGTATAAAAACCGGGGTCTCCTTTTCATTTGCTCTTCTGAGGTCTCACAGCGGGTTTGGAGGCTGGGGGTTGGGATTCTCAAATAAGAACCCACAGCCAACATGTCCATTTCTACTGTTAAATTCTCGCTGGGCATAAAACCCCTTTGGTCTCAGGTTCTGTTCTGGCGGCCCAGAGCACTTGCCCAGGTGTTGGACATTTTTCTGTCTAAGTTGCTTCAGTCTGATCTATCGAGTAAGAACACATTGCCCTGCCTAAGCTCCGGCCATGCCTGATATCTGAGATCTGTAACACCAATGCTACTTAAGACAAGCCTTCTCTTCTGGCCCACTGCTGCCTGCTCTTAAAATATATTCTAGTCCTTATGGTACTACTTCTAAGTTGCTGTGGGCTTTACAAAAGGCCAGTTGAAAGGTGTGTAGTTTGTCCAGTCAGCCCCACCCGGAAACAAACCAGTGCATCCTCTTAATCTCTTAAAATTTTCTGTTGTGATACCACACAAAAAGGGAAGTTCTGGTAAAAATTGCCTCTCGGCTTTATTGTCACCTGAAAATAAATCTGTGAAAGCCCCATACTGATACCTTTTCACTGATAACCTTAGAAAGTACTGTGGCGCCTGTTCTGAATTAGCTTTACCGATAGACAGCCCCACAGGTACTGTCATGGTACATTCTAGGGAGAGGGACTTCTTTGCAGCCCCTAAAATCTTTTCCTGTGATTAAAAATCAGTTGGGAATAAAGAATCTAAAAGAATACAAAGTCCCAACAGAAAGGTCTATATAATGATGATTCATTAATTAGAAAATTAGAACCACTTTAAACAGCCTCATGCATCATAACTCTTATGCTAATTCTTAAAAGTTTTTAAAGTCCCCAGTTGCTTCTAACTGATGTTAGAATGAAATGAGTTTTTTGTGATACTTTTCCATTATCAACACTTCTGGGGAAAAAGGGCCAGAGGAAAGGGAAGAAAAACCAATATTTATTGAGTACCTATTTACCAATTATGGCTAGGCGCTTCCATGTCTCATCTCTTAATCCTCACAACAACCCTGTGAGGTAGGTTATAATGATCCCCATTTTTACAGATGAGGAAATAGGCTCAGAGAAATTAAGCAGCTTTCCCAAGTTCAAACAGTGAGTAGTAAGTAGATCTGACTACAAATTAACCCCTTTTCTACATTGCCCCCTAGAAGATATTGCTCTGGGGACATCATACAACAAAAGGCCTAAGGTTTTCATTTAGTATTGGAAGTCACCTGGATATCACTAGAATATAAGAAAAAGTAATTGACAGAATGGTTTCCTCAGCCTCTGATTCTTCAGTGTATTAGGGAGGTCAGGTTTTACCCAGGAACAGCTTTCAGAGCTAAGAATTACACACTGAACTTTACCAAGCCATCCTGGTGACTAGAAAACTCCTGGAAGTTGGTCATAGCAGAAAATGTTGGGAAGTTCTCATCATAATAAAAGAGAAACTCTTTAATTTCCTTCATGATCCATTCCTACAGGGAAAAACAAATTGCAAATAAATCTATTTATGTCAAACTCTGTAGTAAATGTCAGTGAGTTCACAGTGTCAGGTAATTCCATCCTAAATTAGAGAGATCCTTGCACTTAAAGCTTTTCTTCTTTGATGTTTGTGAAGGAAGGGTTGGAGGACAATGTCAAAAGAAAAGCCAAAATAAATTAACAAAATGGCTGCCAAGCAATATTTAATGCCTTCCCTTTTCTCCCTCCCCCCTCATATGCCTTTCCTATTTCCACCAGAATCACACTGCCATCTGCTGGCAATACCTCAGATCTACTAGATGATTAGTGATTGAAAAGTTTTTACCCTATCTAGAAAGGAGATTCCTCCTATGACTTTATCTTAAAAGGAAATAGAGGTAAACAGATTTTGAATCACAAAGGACACTCCTTTGCTATATATACATTTTTTTCCTAAGGGATTTCTTTAGTGTAATAGGCACTGTACTAGAATGATAGTCTAGTGGTAGGAAGACAGAAACCTGCAAATTTTTCTAGTTCAAAAGGGGAAAATCTATGTTTGCCCAGTTTCATTTCATTTACAACTCCCACACTTTCCACAATCTGCAGGAAACCTCTATGTATTACTGCAATGAACTCTCAGAAATTAGAACTGTGGATATAGTCTCTAACATATTTCTCAAGCATATTTTAGAAATATTTTATAATGCTTTATTAGATTCAAATGCTCTATAAAGATACAAAGTATCTGATTATTAGCTCCTTGAAGGCAGGGGCCCATACATTCTCTGTGTGGGTCCCAGGACATAATGGGTGTTAAAACTAGTATGTACTGAATTGAACTGAAGGAGTCAATGTTGGTATCAGTATAATTTTTATCATAAAATTATTTATTGGCTGTTCAAAGGGGAGACAGCCCCACTCCCACCAAGCCATTCTCTCCCTGTGATGCTTAGAAGACAAGAATTTGTTCAAATATAGACCACACCACCCTTGGGCCCTGCCATGACCCTTTAGTGTTACCTGATTCAACTGAGGGAAGTGAGACAGGTGGACCCAGATTCCTGTCCAGTTTGCAATTATTCCCTTTCTGTTGCAAATACCATCACCAAAGCCAATCAACACAGTTCCTAGAGTCTCAATCAGTAAATAACTCAGCCCAACTCATGTGCCCTCTCTCCAACCCAGGGCTGCAAATAGGAAAGAGATTTAAGTCTTTGTTACTGAAGCTAATTTTGAGAGCGATGAATGAGAGTAGGGAAGCATTTAATGGACCATGGAAACCCCACCCTTCCCATGCCCAACCTTAGTCTCTTGTACCCGATTGTCCAGGGGGCTGGAGGTGGGTCACTGCCATGAGGAGAGAGATCAGGGAGGCCAGTCCTGGAAAGAGAAGATTTGCAGTATTATTGATCAGGGTAATTTACTTGATCTGTCTGTATCCAGCCACTTTACTAATTCAAATGCTAACCCCCACCCTCAACTATCCAAACTTTAATCATTCTAGTTATTCATCTGAAAAGATAGGGAGAAAAAGCCTGTCTCATTATCTCTGCTGAGATCAGTTCCCATGCTTGATCTTCTACATGCAAGAGAAAGGCAGAAAAATCAGAAGGCTTTTCCTGAAGAATGGGAGAAAGAGAGCTGCAGTCACCTTTCCTGTCTTCTATTCCATGTACCCTAATTGCTGTTTCCCCTTGTTCCTGGCTAAACTCTGTGGGGAAAGTACCCTGTTTTTCCTCTTGTGTTAAGGAAACTTCAAGTATAAAACTAAAAAATCATCTATTAACTCATGACCCTTGATTGAAGTTTCAGTCTTTTTAAACCTAATAGGGAATGAGACACAGGTTATTTTCTTACCTTTGCTTGGGTGAAATTACTGCCTTGGACAATTACATTGAAAGGCAAAATATCCTTAGTGGTCCCCAGAATAACTCCCAACCTTCCCTGCTACCCTAATCCTCCAGCTCCTACACCTATAGAGTTTCCCTGTTTCCTGAGGCATGGAAAGTTCACTGGTTGAGAAGCTTCACCTCACCTTTGTGACCCTTTTCTCTCGTCATTGTCTCACCATACCCAGGTTCCCTCCCCCAGTAGTCAAAGATCACAGCCAAGTCCATGACTTTTGCCACATATCCCTCTTGTTGGCTCTGGTTTCGACCCAGGAAACACTAAGCAAAAACTGTGCGGAGACCCCAGTCGCAGCCCAGCTGGGAAAAAGGTGGTCCCACAAGGCAGTCTTTGCAATCACAACTGGCCTCCAGCCCCATCTCCCTCCAAGTGTCCAGCGTCCCATCATGACTCCAGCCGGGGTGAGGGGGCAGGGTGGAGGTAGTTGTCCGACATGATGATATCACTAGTGAGTTGCTGCTCCAGAAACTCAGAGGTCTCCTCAGCTATCTGGCCTGGGATTCGGAAGTCAACAGCAGGTGGATCCTGCTTAGGGCTGGGTGGGGGCCGGGAAACCCAGTTCTCAGAGGGACAGCCTGTCCCCTGAAGGAACTGCAGGAAGTTCTCCTCAATGGAGCCCTCCCGGCTAGGCAGCCTCAGCTCCTCCTCTGGAGCTGGCTTGAAGAAGCAGACAAACTGCTTGCTGAGCTCCCCCCGGATCTGCCGGTTGAGACACCCATAGAAGAAAGGGTTGGAAGTGAAGCAAAAGTAGCCAATCCAGGTCACCACACTCTCCACCTGCCCGGTTGAAATAGGCTGAGCACTCAGGGCAACGTAGAGGTGGAAAGAGAAGTAGGGCAACCAACAGAGCAGGAACTGACCCCCCACAGCCAGGAGGACCACTGCTGCTTTCCCTCCCCCAAACGTCCGGTGTGGAGTGGTCTGGGGTGCCCCCGAGCTGGTGACCATAGTGGAGCGGCTGCTGAGAGACTCGGAGCGTTGCCGGGGTGTCTCCATCCACGTGGGCAGTGGCCCATGCTGCATCGCAGCCACACGAGCCACTCGGAACATGCTGCAGTAGACCACAAGGATGAGGAGCAGGGGCAACAAGAAGTAAAGGACAGCAAAGACCACCACAAAAAGCTGGCAGTAGGCACTGTGGCTCCATTGGAGTGAACAGCCTGGGGGTACATTGGGACCTCCTTCTTCCCAGGAGACCCTTCCCAACACTGGCACAGAAGCCATGGCCAGGGCCTTCACCCATACACCCACCAACACTGAGGCCACAAGCCCCAGTGTCATGCGCACCTCATAGCGCATGGGGTGGACCACATAATAGTAGCGCTCCACATTGATGGCGGACACAGAGAGGATGGCCAGGCTGACAAAGCATACACTCAGGAACAAATAGAGGCGGCAGGCCACCTCCCCGAAGAGGGCATGGTCAAAGAGGGCGGAGCTGGAGAGCATGGCCAGGGGCATGAGGGTCAGGGCAGCCAGCAGGTCCACCAGGCAGAGGTGGAAGACAAATACAAATTTTCGGAGGGCAGGTGTCTTGGCAATAACGGCCATCACGGCAGCATTGCCAGCCACAGCAGTCAAGTCCAGAAGGAGCATGAAGAAGAGGGCCACAGATTCTGAAGCTACATCCCTCAGTCCCACCTCTGGGACCCCACTGGCAGTAGAGGGACCTGGAGTTTGAGGGATCCTCCCCAAAGTGGAAGAGTTCCCCGATGACTGAGGGATGGGCGAGGACTCCATGGGGCCGAAAGAGGACACCCAGGGTACCTCCTGTCACAGGCCCATCCCCCATTCTAGTTCACAACCCTGGGATGGTGAGCCCAGACTCAGGCTTTCTAATATTGTAAGTGGAGCTCCTGCTGGAGCCTCTTATCACCAGCCTTCAAAGTTGGATTGCTCTGTGGCCAGAGCACCAGGCCAGGCAGCTGCAGTCTTAGGAATTCCTATCCCTGTTCTGGCAGGAGGTGGCTCCCAGGTTGGCCTTGACAACTGGGAAGATGCAGGAGACATGAGAGAGATGAAGCCTTGACCACTCAATAGCACTCCCTCTCCTGAGTGGCCTCTGGCTCTTCCTTTTCCACTTTCCTTCCTCCATTCTCCATACCCTTCTCCCCTTTCAAGAGCTGTTATCCAGAGATTCTGAATCCTCTGTCTGCCTTTCCCAGGTCCTGCTGAGTTCTGGAACAGTGCGCAGTTTTAGGGCTGCTTATGTGAATTTCCCGATTTCTGATCTCCAAATAGGGAGTAGAAGGAGCATAAGGTTAGGCTTCCGGTTCCAGGTCTGGGCATTACTAACTCTGCAACTCTTCTGGACTCGTTTCCTCATAAAGGTATCTGTAAAATGAAGGGAATAGTACCTACTTCACAACTGTGTTTATAGGCCCAGCGAGATTCATTAACCACAGTTCTAATCACAGGCTTCCCACATATCCAACCCTGTTCTAAGCTCTCAATGAATATTAACTCATTTTAGTCCTCATACAACCTTATAAACGAATAGTATTCTTATCTCCATTTTTCCAGGAATAAACCTGAGGCTAGAGATGTTAAGGCATTTACCCAAGGTCACACAGCTAGTAAATGTCCAGGTCTAGGTACCTACCTGGTCAGTCTGGTGCCCTGATGTGCATGAAGGTGCCCTTTACACCAACTGAAATACAGTAGGATTCTAGTGATTGTTGAATATGAACTATCTCTAAAAAATGTCTCTCACTGCTATAGGGCTGTCACCTGAAAAAGAGAACTGTGCTTTTGTCTCTTCTGACATCACCACTCCCAAGACAAAGAGCTATCACTTTGGGAATGTTGAAAAGAAACAGTAAAAATAGAATGTCCCAGCTGGAAGGAAACTGGTTCACTTGAAAGCTGCCCTTCTCTACTTACTCTAGCTTCTCAAGGCTACTGTGCCACTGTGGGTGGGAGAAGAACTGCTTCTCACTTTCCCAGCTTCCCATATCTTGTCATTGGACTGACCCTCTGAGGATCCCTGGCCCAAGGGTTTCTTGGTTCTGGACTGTCACCAGGGTCACAGAACAAGGACTAGGAATAGGTGCTGGAGTAGGCATGAGGTGAAGATGCCCAGATAGCAGCATGATCATGAAGTGGTGAGCATAAAGCAGACATGGAGACTGGAAGAAACCAGCATCTCTCATTTCTCCTTATCAAATGTCAATATCACATCTGTTTTATGTGTGTCATTATCCATGTTGAGTTTTTATATAATTGAAATGGGTTGCCCAATGTAATTAAAATTTTTTTCATTTACACATATCATTCTTGCAGTGCAGATTCCCTCAATATAGTATGATGACTTATGCAACCTAGAGGCAAACTGCAGCAGCCCAATCAGATGGTCTTTTTGTAGACCAGTTAAAAATTTCCTRGGCCACAGTTTCCTCATATGTGAAATGGGAGGCTGGGACTAGATGACCTCCAAAATCCTACACATGATAACATTTGATTACTCTGAGTTCCCTGATACAGAGGGCCTGGTGGTTGCTAAGTTTTAAACTTACCATCTCCATGACTTATATGAAGAAGACAATGTGGCCTCCAGGGCCCACTCTTCTCCAGTTATCATCTTAAAATAATCATGGGTTTTGGTGTTACCATGACTCTGACACTAATCCAATTTCTGACATGCTGTGCAATAGGTGCTCAATGCAATTTTGTGAACTGAATCAGACTCAAATTGACTCAAAGTGAATCCCTACCTCCTAGTACAAACTCCAAGAATATTCTGTCAGTCATCTGTGTGCCAGCCAGGGGACTCTTTTTTGGAAAGGATAACCCAGGCTCTTGGATTCAAGACTGCCCTAACTTTGGACATCTGCCTAGAGACATGCCTCTCTCCAGAGATAGCAGAAAGCTCATTTCACAGTTGAGAAGGCCACATAGACTCAGGGTCTGCAGAGAACATGAAGAGAGGGCAGAAAAGTGGAGATGTCAGCTTCTCTTAAGATGGTCTACCAGGAAAAACACCAGAAATACTAGAGGAAGCACCCTTGCCTCTTATGCCACAATTTACCCATCTCTTCTACCTATGAGGGGCTCAGAAGACATGACTCCGAGTCCATGGTAACTAATAGAAGAAAGATCCACCATGGGTGGATTGCATGCAAGAGTCTAATCTAGCAAGGCTCTGCCAGGGTCCCAGAATGAGAGAGGCAGACATGGTTTCCATGTGGACGTGGAGGGGTGCATAGAGCCATGATGGAGCCCTAGGTAACAAGCATTGGACATTTCTCAGAGTCCCTTCAGTCTTGCCAGTATTTCCACAATGACTCCCAAACTCCAGGAATCCTATTTAACTCCTAAGAGACAGACCAACATACCTGGCAACTGGGTACTCCCTCTGACCATCTGCCTTATAGAGGGCCGGGCCTTGGTGTAATCTTTTATAGGGGTAGTCCAGGGAGCCTTGCTCCACTCCCAGTTCATGTCATCATGCCTTCTACCCCAACAGATGCTTTCATCCTCCCACTGCTTCCTTCTAACACCACCCACCTCACCTCCAGGACCTCTTAGTTCCTGGAAGATTTGGCCACCATAGGGACTGAGGTCTGGCCTGTAGCAGGGGCATAGTCAAGTAACAAATACCCTTGTTTCAGGACGCAGGATGCACACAAGTGCCCAGCCCAAGGCCACAGAAGTGCTGTTGAGATTCATATGTACCTGTTTCTCAGATACAGAGCTTCCTTCCCAAGGATCGGAGCCCAGTCTTCCTTCAGACAAGCTCATACCCCTCCTGAGCCAAGGGGAGATTTCTAGGAAGCTTCAACACCTCTCCCAAGCAGAGTTGCCCACACCCAGGGCACAGTTGCCCATCAGCCTAGATGCCAAAGAACCAATTCCTAAGATGTGGGGAGCCCATCTCTATGACATGGAACAAGACAGATGGAGAATGCTGTCTGTTGCAGAATGTGGCTACTCCCACCAGCAGGAGATCATCAAACCCCCGTCTCTAGGCTCCAGAGATGCCGACACCCTATTACCGTCTTTGGGATACCTGGGAGCCCATCCCCTAACAAAACTGCCCACCATAGGGTAAGATGAGCTAGTCCTTTGAATGCTACCCTTCCGTAGGGTGCTGCAGCACTCACCACCAGGCCCTGAGTCTGGCCCATTCCTGGCCTAGTCGGCAACTCCTACCTTTGCTGAGCAGCTCCCGGCTCCCATGTGATAGCTCCTCTCAGCTGATGCTTCTCCAAGGCTGCTGAAGCCTGAACCACTGCAGTGAGCGTGAGAGGCAGCCGGCAGAGCAGGATGCTCGAAATGCTTCTGGGTCCTAATGGCCTCCTGCTTCCCACCCAGCCCCTTGGAGCCACTTCTGAAGCAAACAGCTGGGCATCAGTGCCCCAGGTGAAGTGCTCTGGAGTGAGCCCAGTGCTTCTCACTTCTCTCAGGTTGCTGGACTGCTTCTTAAAAGTTTCATGGGACCAGGTGATGACAGGCAGGAGAGACCTTCCTGAAGTAAGAGAGCATTTGGAGTCAAGAAATTCAGATTCAAGGCCTGGCTAAGGCACTCACTGGCTGTATGACCTTAGGCAAATCATTTCCAGTTTTGGACTTTGTTTGTTATCTGTTCAAAGGGATTATAGGATAGATGATCCCTGAGGTTCCTGACAGCCTTGTCATCTCATGGTTCTGTATGACATCACGACCAATGTGCTTTTTAGCAGGTAGGTCAGTGCATGCATAGGACTCCAAGGTTAGGACGGGGAAGGGGAGGCTCCAGGGAATGGCCCAAGGTTTAATTCCTTTGGAACATGCCAAGTGTATACAGTAGACAGATTGAAGGGTAGCAATCAGGTTTAAAGGGGAGCTGAAGGCTTTGTGTTAACCCTACATTTGCCCCCTCACACATACCTGAAAAAAGCACATTATTATGTTCCTAGATTTTATGCTTATTTGGAGTGGAGCTGTAAGATTGGTGGAGATAGGGGATCTAACATTTCTCTGAGAATGCACCTTAACCACACTGCTCTCTAGAGGCAGAGTGGGGGCCAGGTATTCAGAAAGGATCAGATTGGTCTAGATTTATAGGCTTGGAGGAACATCATCCATGGAGAGTCACTATCCATGTGATGGACTTTAGAGATGATCTAGGGGCATGACCTCCCACTAACTATGAAGAAAACTACAGCTTCTCAGGTACATGACTGATAGCAAGGGTTGGATTCTGACACAGCAAGAGCTGTCAGGCATTCTACAAACCAAAGCATCCACATTCCTGAGATAAAGAGACTGCTCAAAATCACACAGTTCCACCTGGCAGAGCCATAAGCCTATGCAGAAAATTCAGACATGCTACTGACTCCAGAACCTTGTAACCTTATGCTTGCCAACCAGGAACTCCTTCTGTCTCTAAAAAGGAAGAACATGAATTCTAGAACTATTTACTAAACCCAACTCAAGTCATAAGAATAGCGAACTACCCAGCAAATTCAGAAGGGAAGGGTGGCTGCCCAGGCCCCTGATCAACAATGAAGAGGCCACTGGCCAGCTCAGAGCTCACAGAACCATTTTCTGCTATCCTTAGTTACCATTTCTTGAGCTATTATGAAAGTCCTTTAAAGTACAGCATTTTCAACCCCCACACTCATATATTGTTTTATAGGTACCAGAGGTGAGGTGACTTTCCACAAATATGGCCAGAGTCAATATTCAAACTCAGGTCTGTTTGAAATCAAAGTGTTTGTTCTCTCCCCATAACCTCCATGGAGTTCTGACATGACACATCAGGTAGAATCTCAGGCTGGCGTGGCCCTCTTCCAAGAGGTTCAGGGAGAATCTGAGCAAA